AAGATGGAAAGAAAAGTAAATCTGTCTCCAACAGCACCTTACAGTCTGTCTGCGCATCTGACTCGAAACATAGACCGGATCGATGTGAAAATGATACACGCTTGTAAATTCGCGTTCGCTTGTGATTGTTTTAGGCTCTGCATGCATGAGGTAGAACATTGTCCAAGTGTCACATTGACTAGCACGCAAAGTACCAAGGCTCTGCCGGCGGTTTGATACTAAACATGGCATACTGTTGTAAATAGCACAAATAAAAACGCTTGTGGTTATTCTAAATTTGAATCAGTAGGGCACGATCTTTCCTCTCAAGAGTTAATAACCTACTTTTAATTACGTAAATCTGGGCAACTGCAGATGATACAGTTATCTTCGCATTTACTATGTTAGGTTAAAGAGGCTAAGATAGCATTGGATGGAACCATAAAGTTAAGTTAAGATCGCTAAGTTTGTTATATTTTGGATCAATTTTAGGTTTCTGGGAAACTGCCCACTTACCCCTCCCCTAACCCAACATTATCACTTACTTCTCACTTAGGGCAAAATGTTGGCTTATAGGAGAGGTAGGTGGGCAGTTTCCCACAAACCTAAATTGATCCAGTTTTGTTTTTATTTTGTTTTGCTTTCACCCTGTGACTTAAGCAATCGGAAAACGTTTTCTTTGCATTACAATCAAATCTGAGAGACTTGAGTTATTTTTGCCGTGAGAATAGGGTGTTAAGGAAAGATAGCCGCTCTTGGATTCAACTCAATTTGGCATCCCTGAATCCAGAGAGGTGTTTAAACTGGTCTCCTTAGAGTAAGGCTGAATCAGTTTTTATATCTTGTGCAAGTTATGGAATTCAGCATTAAATAAATAAATATTTAGTACATCCACATTGTGGTTTTTCGCCTACCTAATTACCGGTCGAATTGGAATTGGAAATGTTGGGTTTTGAGGAGAGGGTAAAACCGTAGTACTCGGACAAAAACCTCTCGGAGCAAAGAAGAGAACAAACAACAAACCAAACCCACATAATTCTGGCGTCGACTCCGGGATTGTGAACCTGGGCTGTATTGGTGGGTAACGAGTGCTCTCACCACTGCGCCACCCTTTCGCCTCATGTAAGGGTATCCAAGACAGTCTTAGATCCTGGATTCCACTCCATGGATGCCGGATTCCAACTACTGGATTCCAGATCTTTTTTAGTGGAACTTAGATTCTGGATTCCAATTGTTAGTGGGATTCCGGATTCCTACAGCTGTATTCCGGATTCCAAAGCCCAGGATTCCAGATTCCACGAGTAAAAATTTCCCGGATTCCGGATTCCCTTACATGGGGCGAACCTTTGCTCCCAAGATCTTCAACATACTGCACATTGTTAGGACGAGGAAGGTAATGCAATCATTGAAATATTTTTGATTTCCCTTTACCAGAGGACCAATAACACATTTATCGCTTTTTAATTTATTATATATAAGCCAACCAATTGTTGAAGAGTATAGCACAGGATGTCTATATATAGTGAGTGATTATGAACTGATCTTCAGATTTCGACTGTCCGCCCTTACTGCGTTGAGCCACTCTTTGGCTGATTATAAAGTTTCTCTAGGTACTTATAATTGCAGAAAATCCTTCATGGATGTAGCTAAGAGTTTTCAAAGGGGATTGGCCATGTGTCACTCTTAGGGTACTCGCTAGATTGACATGTCGATATCCACGCCGTGTTTAACTAAAGTGATAAGTAGTTAGCGTTTAGAAAGGGACACGAGCACCCCAGGACGCCCCTCTATACCTACGCCCCTGGCCTCAGTGTCAGAATGGTTTTAGTTTCCTATCAATGCATTACTCTCAAGGAAATTTCTTAATATTGAATTAGGAGTGTCTGTAAAAAGTTAGTTTACCACTTGGAACTCTTGCCTTCAGTTGCTATGGTGAGTCCACGTCATGATTTACGTTTACAGAGAAGTGTTTTCTGGAATGAGTAGCAGTTATTGATCAATGTTTCCTGTTCTCCAGAGAACGACACAAGTTACCAACCAGCGACATAGCACAAGTTTAACACTGATTTGTGTCAAAATGGCGTCGGTCATGGGTGTGACGTGGATTCTTGGTATTGCGGCAAACGTCCACGCGTTATCTTTCTTGTGGTACCCATATGTGGTTTTGAACAGCCTTCAAGGTAACTTTAAACGTTTTGACTTTTCACTCAAGTGGAAGAAAGTGTTACCGACTTTAAGAAATCAGTTAAAAACAGGTACTTAATATCTTGTTCAAACTAATTAGTTTCTCGAAAGTTAAAATCTTGTAGCCGTCAGAACCCCATAGGTTCTACAGATTTTCTACCCCCCGCCCCCCACAAAAAATAAATGAAACGCGTTTCTAGGGAATAAGTATAAATGTTAATTTTAAGTAAAATCTAAGATGGCAGCCATGATGAGGGACATTTTGAAAGTCCCCAAGGCGCCATATTTTCTCAAAAATATTATCTAGCTGAGAGCTCCTCGAAGCCGCCCACGATCTATTATAAGTTTTAAATTTTTGTTAATAGAGAGGTTAAGCTTTACGTTTACGTCAAACGGCAAACGCGAATTTGTACCACGTGACAAAGTTTCTCATTTACTTGTCGTTTACTTTTCATTATTTCAGAACATAAATTAGTAGTTTCACGCAAGTTTTTATCCTTTAGAGTTGTTTTGGACAGTTTTTATCGGCTCATTTTTTTATTTTGAGAAATTCCCAACTTGACTGACGAGGGTAAATTCACATTCATTGACTCTGTTCTTCGGATTTTATGTTACAGGTTTTTTCATTTTCCTTTCCTTTGCTGCCAGTGGGAAGGCGCTGGAACTGTACAGAGATAAACTGACCATATTAACGTATCTCAAAGGACAAGATGGAAAGAAAAGTAAATCTGTCTCCAACAGCACCTTACAGTCTGTCTGCGCATCTGACTCGAAACATAGACCGGATCGATGTGAAAATGATACACGCTTGTAAATTCGCGTTCGCTTGTGATTGTTTTAGGCTCTGCATGCATGAGGTAGAACATTGTCCAAGTGTCACATTGACTAGCACGCAAAGTACCAAGGCTCTGCCGGCGGTTTGATACTAAACATGGCATACTGTTGTAAATAGCACAAATAAAAACGCTTGTGGTTATTCTAAATTTGAATCAGTAGGGCACGATCTTTCCTCTCAAGAGTTAATAACCTACTTTTAATTACGTAAATCTGGGCAACTGCAGATGATACAGTTATCTTCGCATTTACTATGTTAGGTTAAAGAGGCTAAGATAGCATTGGATGGAACCATAAAGTTAAGTTAAGATCGCTAAGTTTGTTATATTTTGGATCAATTTTAGGTTTCTGGGAAACTGCCCACTTACCCCTCCCCTAACCCAACATTATCACTTACTTCTCACTTAGGGCAAAATGTTGGCTTATAGGAGAGGTAGGTGGGCAGTTTCCCACAAACCTAAATTGATCCAGTTTTGTTTTTATTTTGTTTTGCTTTCACCCTGTGACTTAAGCAATCGGAAAACGTTTTCTTTGCATTACAATCAAATCTGAGAGACTTGAGTTATTTTTGCCGTGAGAATAGGGTGTTAAGGAAAGATAGCCGCTCTTGGATTCAACTCAATTTGGCATCCCTGAATCCAGAGAGGTGTTTAAACTGGTCTCCTTAGAGTAAGGCTGAATCAGTTTTTATATCTTGTGCAAGTTATGGAATTCAGCATTAAATAAATAAATATTTAGTACATCCACATTGTGGTTTTTCGCCTACCTAATTACCGGTCGAATTGGAATTGGAAATGTTGGGTTTTGAGGAGAGGGTAAAACCGTAGTACTCGGACAAAAACCTCTCGGAGCAAAGAAGAGAACAAACAACAAACCAAACCCACATAATTCTGGCGTCGACTCCGGGATTGTGAACCTGGGCTGTATTGGTGGGTAACGAGTGCTCTCACCACTGCGCCACCCTTTCGCCTCATGTAAGGGTATCCAAGACAGTCTTAGATCCTGGATTCCACTCCATGGATGCCGGATTCCAACTACTGGATTCCAGATCTTTTTTAGTGGAACTTAGATTCTGGATTCCAATTGTTAGTGGGATTCCGGATTCCTACAGCTGTATTCCGGATTCCAAAGCCCAGGATTCCAGATTCCACGAGTAAAAATTTCCCGGATTCCGGATTCCCTTACATGGGGCGAACCTTTGCTCCCAAGATCTTCATGGAAGGGGAAAAATTTAATAAATAAGGTCACTAAGGTTGATTTATGAGTAAGAATTATCGGTTACTTGAAAAAGGGAGAACAAGGAGGAGTCCAAAAACTGATTGGCCAGAATTGCAGATGTACTGTTTATAAACGAAACGAGGTTGGATCGAGATTGCAACCACGTAGAAGCAGCCACAGTAACTTTCAATAGCAAGACACTAACAGGAACATCACTTTCTCATTAATAGATCGTCTCTCTCAAAAGGACTAATAATTCGCAATAAGGAGGGGGGGAGAGGGGGCAGGAAGGAATTTTGCGCAGTTCCCCCAATCCCAGAAAAAAAAAAATCATCAACAACCTTAGGAGTCTATCAGTCAAGTTTGTAATTTCCGCGTACCAGTTTAAGGGTTGTTCAACGGTGAACGATGCGAAAACTAATAAAAGCAGGAGCGGATTTAGGATAAATGGTGACCGATCTCCTAACCGAGCGCCGAAGGCGCAAGCTTCTAAGGGGCAGTGGGGAGGGTCCGGGGGTCTGCACCTTGGGGTAATTTTCATGGGATTTTAACTCTCTAAAGTAACCTTTCCTGGGTTTCTGAGTCATTCAGACAGGATATTGGCCAGATTTTAACTCGGAAAGTTCTCTTCATTAAAAATATATTTATGAAACAACCATTTTGTTGGTAAAACGGTGGGGTCTCCAGAACGGGTTATTATGGTAAATGTGACGGCTGCTTTTGAACAATGGAACAAGTCATGCATAAATAGATGGCAAAAGAGATTATTGAGCTGCAATAATTATGATGGGTGTTTGAGATTTATGTAAAATAATTAAACAATACTTATTCACAAGATCAAATTCAAACAACTTTATTAATTCGAGGTTTATTTATAGTGCTTACAACACTTTTCATGTCGAGTTGACATGATAATTTAATGACAGTTTTAAATAACAATTTCACTTCAAAATTTTTCTGATCAAAGATATATAGTTCTATTATATTTAAGTGTTCGGTCGAGGGCGTTGTCCATTGCATGTGGTGTGTTTCGTGCCTCGTTAAATCTAGTACCCTGTTGGATAAATAAAATATTCGTTAGCTATTTGCTGCCGTGTGTCTGAGGAAACGACATTTAATTTGTAGCAGTTTAGTGCTTCATTGATGGTTTGGAATTCTCCTCATCACTTTCCTTGTCAGATCTTTTCAGAACGGAAGGTTCCAGGTCTTAAAAATTCTGAAAGCTTTTCCGGTGGCGGTAATTCCCTTTGTACGTCAAGACCTATTCAGCACTTTCAAATTGAAATTCAAATTTCGCAGACAAGTACAATGATCTTTCACGTTTAAAAAGAAATGTCAGAATAAATTTCATCTTTAATGTGATAATTGCCTGAATAAGGGCAAAGAGCATACATATATACGGCTGGGTGAGGACGCCTCGCATAAGGATCTGAACATTTCGGTTGTTCACTGGATTACTAAAAACTGCTTAAAGGATCGGCGTCAAAGGACCTTGAGGTAATCCATATACTGGCACTGAAATAAGTGTTATCAAAATGATTAATTGGATTGGTTGAGGGTGAGAGGCAAGAGAAAGGGCAGCTTCAAACTGTTGGCCTGGGCTGGTCACTCCCACCCGTAAAATATCTGTTGGTCTCTGAAAGAAGATAATCTTTCCTAACTGTCCCCGTTTTGGGAATAAGCCTAATGACGCTCAAGGAATAGAAACTACAAGGCACAATGGTATCAACTAACCAGAAACTTCCACTCTAAGACAGTTCCAGTTTTGCTGTTTGGTCGGATTAAAGCGAAGGTATCTTGCTGTAATTGCCACTGGTAGCTTGTGGACAGTTACCATGGAACTGTTAGCCACCGCTGCTCTGTGAAATTCCTATACGTATGAAATGAGGGAATGAGAAATTTTCCCTAGTCTGAGTCACTGACTGGATACCACTTTGGTTTGAGAATTATTGGTACTGTTAATATTATATACTAAGCACGCTAGAGGAAAATATTTGAAAGTTAAAAAAATGTATTCTAAGTAAACCGTGTTACTTAAATGTGGGATGCCTCTGAGGCCACTCTTTAGAACGTATATTTCTAAAGGTTAATGTTTTCGGGGTAGCCATGGCCATGATTTAAAACAAGAACCTGAAAAAACGGGCTGAGGCAAACAATAGGCAACTAAAGCTACAAAATTTCCGTCTGCGTCAGTTATTTTCAGTAATTTCTTAAAGCAATAACTTAGGACATCACACAAGATAAATTTTGGCGATTTTTCTCCATTGATGCTACAACGACGGCATTCGCCCGCCATCTGCGTTCTCAAAAGCATTGTCTTCAGGTTCACTTGGCTCGACTTTCAACACCCAGTAGGGGGAAAGAAGGTGTATTGAGGGAGATGTGCAAATGGCGAATTCTGCTATTGACGCGAAGAAAATTTGCATTTCGATATAAGGAGTCAAAAATGTTTAGATTATAGAATCTCACCACTTGAGCTCCATTTGCATTCATATAATATCTCCATGAAATTCCATCTGTTGAGTAGCGGAGCTTGAAATCTGTAACCCATCTATTGCCATTAACTTCTCCCTGGGCGGACAGTGAACAGACTTTGACTGTTCTTCCAAGATCCACCTGTAGCCAGTCATGCGTGCTGCTAGCTGTGCCTGCGCACCATCCGTTGCCTCTCACACCATTAAGTCGACCGTAACTAGGCCTTGTTAGATCGCTTTGTTGAGACGAAGCGGTCATTTTGCTGTCAGGGATGATCTGGGAACTAGAAACGCCGATTCCGGTTGCACCGCTACATTTGTTGCCTGGGGTCCCTGTGCAAAATTTAACAAATAAAAAAATTAATTGCACTGACCTAAAGCTCAGTGTAAATTAATGTTAAATTCTATCAATTTAAAAACTAAATTTTGCGATGAACGATCATGACAACGCTTGAGTATAGTTTTTTTTTGAAAGACAAGGAAGGCGTACTCACCAATAACCAGCATGTTAACAGTCACCGGGTCATAGCCATTTTCATTTGTCAGTTCTTTAATACAAACACGGCAGTTGGTTGTATTGATTTGCTAAAAACAAAATAGAAAAATACAAAAGGTATAAGTATCACACGAGTTTCCATTTCCTTTCTTCTTGTCTTCTTAGAGGTTTTAACAGCTCATGTTAACTGAAGAATTTAATCAGTTTGACAAGCACGCAATTATGAATATCTTTATGGGACACGACCACACGCCCACATTAACTCTGTTCTAATTTTTTATCGTTTGTTTATAAGTGCTATTATTCTGGGCAAAATTCCATATAGATTGAGATGCATTTAGCAAAAAGGCATTCGAAAATCTTTACAAAAGAATCTGATGACTTCAGCTCTGATTTCTAACTCGTTATTTGCAGAATATTATTAAAAGTAACAAAAACGGCTGGTACATCGAGATACAATGTATTTTCTTCCTAATAGCAATTATTCCAGGGTTGAGTAAGGTAAAGTTTTAACATAACGGATCTTACTTACCTCTATCCATGGTGCAATGCTGTTGTAGAGTGGATTGATTAGATTCGCTCCCGCTGCGTGTGCTGCTGATGCAATCACTGTTGGTGCTGAACTGTACGTTTTGGAAAAGCCAAAAATCTGAAAAATAAACAACTAATGTTCAGTCCAAAAAAGGAGGGGAAATAGTTTCAAATAAATACAAAAAAGATCATGGCAGTTGAAGACGCAACTAGTTTCGTCGTTATAATATACCTATGTGCGGGTGAGTTGGCACTTTATTAATCAAGTATTCTCAGTGAAGGCTCATAATTACGAGAAGCATTTAAACAGTCAATGAGTTTAAAAATGCCCACTTACAAGGACATCCCCGTGCAATTTAAGATGACGTTAAATATCACAGGCGTATCGCAGCCAACCAACTGTGCATTCTTACGATCTTACATCCGAGGAACTTTTAGATTTTACCTCATGGTGTGCTGTCTAGCACACATGCACGATACCTTTTTTTTCTCTACAACTCCAAAGTAAAACCACTGTGCACATCACAGTAAACAGTTCCATGATTTCATTTAATAATGGTGACTGGCCTTGTATTTGTCTTGGGTCAAACGTTTCAGACAAAACATCGTTCCGAAGGTTTAATTCTTGCAAAGAAAGTGGACTGCAAGTTTAATCAAGGGGACCAACCTGACAAAAAGCGTTGTGATCGTCAGGACTGGGCAGTCCACTGTTTGGGAAATACAGATCAAGTTGCTGGGATAAGAGAGTCTCTGGTAGTTTTCGATAAGCAATCCAGTTCTGTAAAACAAAAAATTGTCAAGAGAAAGATTAAGATTCACGTATACGCTAAGCGGGTAGACGTGAATTTGTACCACGTGACCAAGTTTTCCCCTTATTTTCAGTTTACTCTTTATTGCTTCTACACAAAAATAAGTAGTTTTATGTCAGTTTTAACCATAGGAATCGTTCGGGACTGTTTATATCTGCTTATTTTCTATTCTGAGAAATTCTCAACTTGAGACTGACGTTAGCCGTTTGAGGTAAACGTGAATCTTAATCTCTCTAAGAACGAGTTAATGTCAGTAAGAAAATGAGAGTGGCCGATAATCTGACCGGACTAAACGAAACCGATTACGTCTCACACAAGCTAAGCAACGTGCTCGATTACGTTTATGGCCATGTAGCTCTCAAAAACCTCTATTTTCATTGGCTTTTGAAAAACACTCCCGCTATTGGTTTTAAGGAAGCGACATTGTTTGGGTCATTCATCCACTAATATGAAAATTTAAATTTATTTAGTAATTTGTTGCCCCTTTACATTTCCTATAAAATAGTGGGTAGAAGTTATTAAGGTATCAGTATAATTTATCTCATGTGATCATGTTCTTAATTCTCATTACCACCTTTTTTCATATAGCATGGATATAGCAAGGAGATGTTCAATGCTGATCTGCAAACATTTGAGTCATTTGTTTAAATTGTACTACCCCACTCCTCTCCGTTTCTTCAGTTACAAGGATCGAAAAGGGCAAAGTATATGGTCCTTAGCTTACCACTTTAATGTCTTTATGCTGTCCATCAAAGTTCTGCAGTTCCCTTAAGCACACTGTAAATGCGTTTGTCTTGATATTTTCAACCCAAACTGTGGCAGCGTCGTGTTTCACGGATGCCTTTGTGTGCTCTGCTGTAACCAATACGTATGGTGGGGCATCAAACGTTTTCTGGAATTATTCAAATTTGAATGCATTTAAAAATCAGTAAATGAGCAACCTTTGTTTAGAAGTTCGAAACTTAAAAGAAATTCTTTTGCTTTCAATTGAACGAATAGCTCTACATAACCGCATATGTAACAACAAAGTGATTTTTGGCCAAAGAACAATAATCTACGCAATATATATTTTCTCTGATCGTTCGCTTTCACGTTTTAATCACATACTAAGGAAAACCTGTATGCTGTATAGCGAGAAAGTATTTGTTATTTCATTTATCGATTTTAGTTTAGAACTGCTTGTGATGAATTGCTTTTTCATTGGACGAAAAGTTCCTAACTTTGTTCTCACACCAGTTTTCAGTAGCGATAAAAATCTGATTCACTTACTATGCTCATAATTGCTAACTTACTATCCAACAATGTCTCTTTTACACTAATTTTAAAACTGAACGCCAATACCACATTTGCCATATACGCTTACCGATAAAGGAATCATCTGGCATTGAGTTCCATCCCACCAGTTTTTCATTGGAATGTTAGCAGCTACTGTGTCAACAGGTGCTTCCTGAAAGGCGATGTAGTCCACAAACGTGATCCCGCCATCTGGTGTCACGCGCTCTGCTCTCCCTGCCTTAAGTGCGCACACTTCAAAGGCAGTGATGTTTACATTTTCGACCCAGGTTACCGCGGCGTCGTGAACGAAGCTTCCGGTGTAATTGAAGTAGTTGATGGTTGTTTGTAAATGAACTGATCCTCGGTTAGCGTCGAAACTCGCTTTGAATTTGACAAGTCTGCACTGGACATCGACTTTATCGAGACGAAGGGCAACACGACCTCGTTGAATGACGAATGCTGCAAGAGCCATCATGAGAAAAAAAATTTAGCGTACATTCTAACGTACTCCTACTTTATGAAAGCAGGCAGTATGCAAAATAGTCCGTATTTTTGCGCAGGTCAAGAACATCAAAGCGGTCGACTTAAAGTGCTGGAACGATGGTGAAAACAAAGTGAAAGACTATGTGAGGCATGCACTCGCAATTCGCGGGAATATCCCACCCGTGCGCCTTGAGGAAAAAACCGACCTTTGATTTTGCAGTCTAAAAGCAGACGACTTTCAACAAGGCCAAAAAACGCGAGTACTGCAATGCCGGAAAGCTATTACGTGCTAACTTACAGCCATCTCTGGTTTGACCTTCGCTCTAGTGCTTCTGGGAGCTTATACCACGATATACTCTGGGCTCTGAAATTCGCGCCGCAATCTATCATTCTTGTCTCTTCAGCACTGCTAATTTAACTGCACCGTAATATCTCAGTTTTTGGATCTCATTTCAGTTAGAAGCTGTTGTTTTTGAAGCCTAACTTGGATTACTCTCTTAATACGCAGTTTCGTTGTGTGGTTTGTACATGCAGTTTTGCAAATTTGAATTCGATAAAATTCAATACTTACGTTTGCAGCCTCCGTAGTGTTTAATCCCGGGTTCTTCTTTATCCAAACAGACTTTGTACTTGTATTTACAGATGCTTTGGTGGGTGACATCGTTGTTGTCGCAGAGTGGTTCTGATTCATTAAATTTGCAAGGCTGGCACGTGCAGTTGTATTTAGTTTCACTGATTGGTTGACATACTGCGTAATATGGACATGTAACGCCAATGCATGGGTTATAATCTGAAAAAAAAAAATAATGGTTTGTGAAAAACCTCAAGTTAAAAGCTCCAGTCAGAGTTACATTAGGCGCGAGATTAAATGTTCAGATCGCTTGTTAAGAAAGTTAATGCTTTGGCGCTTCATTCAATGGCAATTATCATGGTGACATTTAATATGAACGGACCGTGTATTTAGCATGGCAGTTGCTCCAAATTTCTAATGAAATGACTTTTTTTATTCATTTCCGAGTCCTTACCGAGCGTTACAATGCTATTATGTCACCTTTAGAAGGGAGTCAAAATGTTTCAAGAACGCTTATAAAAGAGAAATGATGCCTCTGTCAGTGGACCTTTTTGCATGCTGCATACTTACATCCAACAGCCAAGAAATTGACAGTGATTTGGTCGTGAGTTGCATCATATCTCTGGATGTCTTTCAGACAGACTTCAAAGTTCGTCTTGGATACACTCTGGTCAATACAAAAAGATTTATCAAGAAAAGCTACCAAAATATCACTACAACCTGCACTGTACTAACTCGAGATGGTGCGTACGATTTGGTCATCAGTTCAAATATTTTAAAATGCTGCAAGTTTTCCCAGTGAAAGTTGTGAATCAGTGAAAAAACAAGATGTTTATGGAAGAGTATATTGCATTAGAAGGTGAAACTACCAAAATATATCCTCAACATGTCATGGGAAAAAGAGACTGTCTAACATAAACTGAAACCGCCGATAGAATTCCTTTCAGATGCAACCGACGCAGGCCTTAAGAGAGCCATGCACGCTAAATTCATCAAAATTCAAGCAGTTAGAACTTCCAACTGACTGAGTAAAAGATAAGTGTAGCCGCTCAAAGCGTTAAAAAAGATATAAATAACAAAGTAAATACAAAACGCATAGATAGACAAACATGAAGATTGAAACAGATTGCAATTTAGGCTAGCAGGCTGCTAGCCCAAAAGTTTTTCAAACTTTATTTTTGTTGTTTGAAAAGTTTGAAATAATACTTGGGAGACATTTGTTTGACACTAAGCTATGATTTTGTCATTCACAAGAAATGTCTCAGTTCCCTAGCAACAAAGGACGTGTAATTAGCCTGCGAGCAAGCATTGTAAACAAACATTGAAAAACACATGCCAAGAGTAATGACGTCATTACTAATGTCATCTTCGCCAATCATTATTTCGCATGGACTTTTTCGTTGCAGATATTCAAGTTCCAGAGACGTAGCTGCAAGCTCTCCTTTTCCTGCCCCGCCGCCAGAGCGCTCTGGAGAGCTTGCTCGCAGGCTAACCAGGACGTGTAATTTAAAATATCAACAAAATGAACTACACGGCCGTGACACAGCCCCGTTAAGTTACGTGATTTAAAACAACAGTTACATTCAATAAACTTGAATTAAAATTTCAACCTCTTACCTTGACGTATTCCTGAATAGCGTTATTTTTAGGCTCAATAGTGGCATTGACGTAGTCCGTATAATGCTCTGATGTTGTGATCATGGTTGGAGGATTATAATATTCGTTCGGAAAGTCGACAGTCTGAAAAAAGAATAAATTGCTTCGTTAATCATTAAATATAGACAGAAGGATACTTGTCTTAAACGGTGTGCGGTGTTTATGAATAAATTGGCCGCACATGTGCGCATTGGAGACGATTTTTTTTCTTCTTTCCTGTTTTAGCTGCATGATCGAGTATTGAATAATTAACTTTTGATTGGACGTACAATTATTCTGACTTCAGTTCACATGGGCTTCCGCGATTGGTACATGCGGCTACAAGTATTTTCTCCGGTGCGATTGATGTCTTGGCAATACGAGTTTGCGCTGAGTTTGTCCGAGTTGTGACACAATTTCTGGCATGTCTGCAGTTAAATAAAGTTGGCAATGCACTTTTGACAAAAGATTTCCTGGACAAACACTAATGTTTTTTAGTTTATAAAAGGCTTATTCTGTAGTTGATAAGGCAACTTGTCGAACTTATGCTCAGAGACTGACCAATAGGGCGGAGAAGTCGTGACATCACGTTGCCATGGTAGCAAAATTCCCGGATCTCAACTTACCGGCGTCCGGCAAATCATGGCAGACGAAAACGAAAAATTGGCATTTATGACTCCCCTGTGCATGATTGACTCAAGAACAAAACAGTAGCCCATCCTTTTCTTACATGGTTCGACAATGTAAATGAGTCGTCTCTACTAAATCCAGAAATTGTCACCGTAGTAACCTGAGGTCACACTTCTCCATACTGGAACTCACCTTGCAGTGACTGTATCCTTTCTCTTTTGGGAAGAGGCTGGTTCTGGGAAATATGACGTCAGAACTGTGGGGAATCTTCCAGCCAGAGGGTTTTTTAGCCAAAACTAAAACGTCCTGAAAATTAAATTTGATAGATTGAACTAAGTATAAAACTCACGAGAGTATGGGAAGATCAACTAAACAATAATACTGGAAATATTCTACTAGAAAATTCGTCAATGTCAGAAGAGAGGGATAATGGTATTTCAAAGGCACCTAGGACCATGACAACTCATCAGGAAATGCCGGAAACCTCAGGCCTCGAGCTTTTGGAAGCAGTCATCATCCCAGAAAGTAAGGTAAGAAAAGGGTTGGAAAAATAAGCCGTGATGATGGGTTGAATAGGCAAAACAACAACTGCACGTGCATCACGATTTTTTGTACATTTCTTTGCCGTCACTGCACGACGACGACTGGAAAATGCCTAATTTCCCGTTTTATGGAGGACGTAAACAAGCGACGACTAAATTTTCCTTCTCTTTCTGAACTTGAATATGGTTTTTAGGAATTCGGCTCAAAAAGAGTTCATTTGCATTTGACAAAGTAAATGAGTTGCAGTAATCGCGATAGAGATTGAAAGAATACAAATTCTAATTTTAAGTGACGTTTTCGTGGCCGTCGCCGTCGCCGTCGTGGTATCTTAAAACGCCCTAATTAAT